TTGATAATTTCTACTTTGAACGTAGAATAAAATTTAATCGTCTTATCTGTAACAACGTTTTATACATTTCCAAAAATAATATTGATAACTGTATGATAACTGTAGTAAAATTATATCTGTATGATTTTATGAAAGCTAAATAATTTGCAAACAAATTTTTATCAGTTTTATATTCAAAACCGAAAAAATTGATTATTAGGTATCTATCCTTCGTACATTTAAACTTTTTATGAATTCTAATTATTAAACGTAATAGCGAAACCACTTGGGATAATAGAGTTGGCAAAAAGATAATTTAGGTACCTATATATTTTCATAAATAATACTATTAAATATCGTAATGTATTGAGAGAAGTCTGGTGTGGTGCAATGGTTGTATTCTGTCAAGAAACTTTGCGAATGCAGTCTATGTCCTGGATGAGAACTTTTTTTTAAATTGCAAACCTTATTTATAAATATTGAACTTTTATACATTTTTAAATTGTTAATTTAAAACAATTTGTAAATGTAAATGATTTTGTCAAAATTTAAGTTTCAAATCATAATTTAAATAAATTGTGCCTATGTAACTATATATATTTTTATTGCTTCAATAACAACTTAGGATGAAACTTGAATTGAATTTTCAAGCTTTTCAACAATGAGAATAGTTTTTCGACATTTTTAGAGTAAAAAATTTTAAATACAAATATTATTAATATCTAAAAATTRTTAAAAATATTGTAAAAATGTGAATGTCATTATATACGGAAAATAGTTATATAAATGTTTAATGAAAACATCAGATATTTATGGTAATTCGTTTTTAAGTTACACGTAACAAACAAAATGTTTGCGTACATAAATTAAACGACGCCACGATCGCGAACCCGTCAGCCGTTAGGCTATAAAAACGAAACTTAAACCGATTGGAACTGTTGTGTCAGTCCAGCAACTATTAACGCGCAAACAGTGTCCGGATGAACTTCGTCGTCGTTGAGAAACAGATTCCGAAATAACAGACATCGCAGTACCGCATATTAGGTACCAGACTCGATTTCCTCCGAAAAAACAACAACAACAGCGTCAACAGCAAAGCCAAAATGTTTCTGTCGTACACCGTTGTGACCGTGTTCGTTTTCACCATACTTTTAAACTTCAWCTACGTGGACTCCGACAATATTAAATTTACGTCGTGTAAAGAATGCTTGCAATCGCAGTGCCACACCAAAATGTTTGGACCGTGCATCCCCTCCACAAAGGACTCATCGACTTTCGAGTGTGTCATGTGTAACATCGACGAAAAGGGACACCCTCTGTTCTACAGCAAAGAAATATGTAATAAGCAGAAGAAGGACGATGAAATTTGCTTCTGCAAAGGCCAGTGTTACACGAGTCCCAAATTGGGTAGCACCGACCATAAATATTTTCCGTGCGACAGGCCCCCCCAGATGTTGAACGATGAGTGTAAGTTAGTGAATTACAATATACCCAGYCCATGAAACCGTGCAGCCATCATCATGATATTATTTAATATTAATATTAATTACATTATATTATATTTTTTTCAACTATGATTTTTATTCTCAGAAAAATTACCCTCACTCTCACCAATTAAAAAAAAAAAAAAATACAAAAATTCTTTAAGTTATTGTTATGCAATATTCTATATGATATTATAATATAAATAAACATTTGTACCTTCATTGTTATAACTATAATAATAATATTATTGTATAGTTAGATTCAATGTTTTAACATTATATTACATCATAGTATGATTACCATGATTAGTACCATTATATAACCACTATCCTGTTAAACAATATACTGCTGCCTAAAAAGCTACACAGGCCATATCTTTTCATTTATTTTCAAATAATTGGAAGGGAATTACGTATTTTTATAACTAACATATTTTATCAATAGTATTATGTCATTACGTAATTTCATAATATTATAATATTTTTTCAATTACATATTGACCTTTTTTTTTTGTGTGTTTAGTTAGTTTCTATGTTATCCATAAATATGTCATTCTAATATTCTATATTATTTCTCGTCTCGAGCGCCCCAAAAATATGGGTAGAATGTAAAATAACCAGCCTTTCGATTTTATATTTATGCAGTTGCAGTTGTTTCTGTTGAACTATTGAAATATGTTATACATTTTTCACACTTAAAATGTTTAGCTAGATTCTTAGTTAAATAGCCACAAACAAAATATACCTCACAATCCACGATTGAAGCCTCGAATAATTATGATCATCAATCCCTGAATTGAGAACTTTTGAAATATATTGTATTTATACTATACAAATTGTTTTATAAATCAGGTTGCAAATTTATTCTCATAGATTGCGCTAGCTCTGATTAAAGGAGAGATAATATAACTGACCCGCCTACCATACACTGTCTAGTCTTGTAGGCGAGTGATATCTATTATGAGTATGAGCAAGTACCACATAATTATTATCGGAATTTTAATTTTAATCTTTCCTAAAAGCTCCACTAATTGTTAGATGTTTACAGATTATCATAAAATTCAGCATACGCCTACCTAACTATTATTACAATTATTTAAAATTATAACTAGCTCAAACTTGGTCAATTTTTATTTTTTTTTTGTTGAACTGTTTTAAAAAATATGTTCAACCAAATGGCTATCTTAAAAATTTAAAATTCTTAAATGCATAAAAAATAATTTTTGAAAATTTTTGAATTTAAAAAAAAAATGTATGCCATTCAATCAGAATTTTCATACTTGGTACTGTAAAAAAAAAACGTGTTTAAATATATTGATTTTACATGGATATATTAAGGGCGATACGGGACTTTTTGCACATGTTTTTTATGTATCCATATACCCGTGGAATGAACACGGTCGCATTATATGGCATTCCGCTGTGTGGACAGTTTTGTTCCACAGCGGCCCTGCCCGACTGTGCTCGCCCCGAAGGGAAGTCAGTCGGAGTCGAAGTCGTAGACCGTAGTTCAGCGGAACCTCCGAATTCATGWAGTATTATATAGTCATTTATTTCCCTGAGCGTACTAATTTATCGTGTAGACGTACACAACAATAATGACTTAGCTTTGTATAATGTATAATGTATAATGTATAATGTATATATTATATTTATTTTAAACTTAAGGGCTAATACCTACCTAATTAAAAAAAAATAACGCGTCGGGGGAATATGTTCATTTTTTTACACTCAAGGTGAATTCGTAAATAAGTTTTTACAAGTCGGCACTTGCAGAAGGGTATGGTACTGGTCTTACTGTCTTAGGCAWGCACAAGCAAAGCTGTGTCGAGCAATAACACGGAATTTCGGTTTACAGTGTAAACACAGGCCACATATAAATCGTTGGAGGGCCGCAGGTTGAGTATCGCTGGTTTACACACAAGAAAACAAGCGTACGAAAAACTTTTCACTATAGAAGAGTGTTAAACCTTGGTCTATCAGGCTAGCTGGCTAGCAGCATTCCATCTTTACATTGGGACATGAGGGCACATACAATGTTATTCGTTGGGTAATACAGCTTTAAGATTTAATASAAGGCATCTGATACATTGTTATAATAGAAATTGAGGAATATTTAAAATACATATGGGCACGTTTTTGGTGTATTTGTGTGTACTAAGTTGGTACTTAAAATGTCTTAAGTAAGTAGGTATATTAATAATATATGCCTATACAAATATGATAATATACAAGATA